ACCAATTATATGCAAGTATAGCAAGTACACATCTACATAGGAGAGTTTTAGAGGCTCTCAAAAATATTCCATCCTTCCCCACAATGTAGTATTCATGGGATTTGAAAGGAATTGATGCTACTATGAATTCCAAGGATGAGTCCTGATGGATTCTTTGCCTTTCCCACAGTGCTTCATTTGGGAGAGAGCGTACAGTTCAGATTTAAGTCAATCAGCATGTCCCCAACCATAGTGATCAGATATTTAGGATTTCCCAATTAAAACAAAACATAGGACTTCTGTTCTAAGGTTATGGAAATCAAATATCATTCTCTATCTTCTGTCATAAACAAAGTCACCTGTAGTCCCAGTTATTATTGGCAACCATCCTCTACCCATGGAGAAAACAAGCCTTCAGAAGAAGACAACCCTGTTGACAGAAGACTGGTGAGATGGAAAGATGGTGAGATTATTACATGGTGATAATATCACTGATTAACCTTGAAGAACTTTTAACCTATGCACTTTCTAGACACATGAGCCAGCGAATTCCCTTATGAGTTAACTGCTATGAATTGCTTTTCCTGTTACTTGTAACTGAGAGTATCTTTCATTGTACAATATCCATCAAAACTTGGTCATCCATTGGCTGTGAGATGTGAAAAAATCTGGGCAAAGATGGCTTTTCTGAGACATGGCTTCTTATGATTCCCTACTGTCACCTCAGTTTTACTGACTTGCAATGAGATTTTTTTTTAATTGGAAGGATAAGAAAATTACTAAGGAAATGAAAATATAATATTTGGAAAAATTATATTTAATTTTATAGCTAATAAATCTCTAAGAAATTTAATAGTGACACAAAGGGCATAGATTCTATAGAGCCTAGAGTAGCAAAGCAGTAGAAAAAACAGGAAGAAGTTTAAGGAAAGCAATGAAGGTAAGCAAAAAAATAATTGAAGATTGAGCTGCAAATGAAACAATTTTGGGTTTCCTGCATAAAACTCCAAAAACATATGAAAAATGGAAGTGCAAACATTAGGTTTTTATTGGTTGGAAACAGAAGCCAATTCTGGCTGTGAAAAGAGAAAGAGAATTAACTGGTGGTATTACTGGGGCTCAGGAAATCAACAGAGGCTGCAGTTAGGGTGAGGAATAGAGAGAAAAAGAGGCCATTCCAGAGACTAAGAAGAAGGCCTCATAACAGGGAAAAGGTTGGTGCAGCTCTTTAAGGGAGAGGTGACAATGTTGGTGGTAACCTGAGGGAAAGTCATTTCACTGGAGACTATGAATGTGTGGTTGGAGGAAGTTGAAAAGAGATGGAAAAATAAGCAACTGTCTTGATGAACTTTTCCATAAAAGGGAACATAGAAGGACATGAGATCAAGAGAAGTTTGATTGTCTCTTAATGTTACTACTTAGTGTATTTCTATGACGGTACTAACCATTGACTGGAAGTGTCCCCAGGCTGGTTCCTTCTCCTTCGTTACCTCCTCAATCCTACATTACCTCCTACTCCTGGTCATATATTCTTGTTTTATTTTCTCTACACCATTTGTCCCTGTCTGAAATATCTTCTGTATGTGTTTGGTTACCTTCGCCTGCTAACATACGAAATGGGTAAGAGCCACAACTCTCTCGGGCTTGTCACTGTATCACCCACATCTAGAAAAATATCTGTCATGTAGCAGATTCTCAGTAAATATTTGTGGGGTAAATAAGCAAATGAATAACTAGACCTTCAATGGTTTCTTTCTTTTTTCTTTTCTTTTCTTTCTTTTTTTTTTTTAAAGATTTACTTTTTATGTAATCTCTACACCCAGTCTGGGGCTCAAGAGTCAAATGCTCCACCAACTGAACAAGCCAAATACCGTGGGTTTCTTTCATTCTTTTTTTTTTTTAAAGATTTTATTTATTTATTTGACACAGAGAGATCACAAGTAGGCAGAGAGGCAGGCAGAGAGAGAGGGGGAAGCAGGCTCCCCGCTGAGCAGAGAGCTCGATGTGGGGTTCGATCCCAGGACCCTGAGATCATGACCCGAGCCAAAGGCAGAGGCTTTAACCCATGAGCCACCCAGGTGCCCCTCTTTCATTCTTAAACCCAGGATCTAGTTGCTGAATAGCCAAGTTCAAACCCTTTGTCTGGACAGTGTCTGCCCCATCTAGGGTTATATGCTGAGGAGTGAGTACCTGAATTTATTGTCCTTTCAGAAGAGAATATGAGAGGAGAAAGGCAATTCCCACAGGGAAATCTGGGGCTATTTAGTGTCCCCAAATAGCAAATGCTCACTGCAGTACAGAACTGTAAGGAGGAAAAAGGAATGTTTACTTCCTGCCATTTAAAAAAATCCATAAATGAAAAGTTAACATTCCTACTTATCAGTTAACAGATTTCAATTTTATTCCTATGTTTCCTGAGGAAAAACTTTTGGATCAAGTGGTGGGCAAGTCTTTCTGCTCACACAGATAAACATCCCCCTCCATTAAAATAGGTTGGAAGCCTAGAGATAATTAGACCCACTGTGTCAAGCAATCAGCAGACAGTGGAGAACTCACAAAAAAACAATGACAAGAGAGCTGGCTAACTCTTGAGAGAAACAGAAGGAAAGCCTTTGCAATCAGTAGAAAGATGTTTTGGTTATTGTGGTTCATGGACTGATGTGTACTTGTTTGTGCCTATCTCACCTTCTTCCCCTCTTCTCTTCCCCTAGCATAGACATACCCAGACTCTGAAACATGGGCACAGTCACCTTGGGTCCATCCCAGTGAAAGCTTAGTGAACTTCCCTAGGTCAGCTCTGTGAAAGCAGCCATTTGTCTCCACAGGATTGTGTCACTGCAGAAGGAATACCTAGGAGGTATTTCTGTTTGCTTTTATTTATTTATTCTTTTTGATGCTTGGGATCTGTTAAGTTAGAAGAGCCCTTTGGAAATACAAGATCTGATTCATTGACTCTTTTCCCAATAGAATATTCATGCCTGCTAGAATGATAACCCTGAGAGAATGATCAGCTCCATGAGAAGGACAGTATCAATTTCATTCATGCCTAGTGCCATGCCTCATTCACAGTGGGTTTTCAAAAACATACTTGGTGAATAATTAAATAAATGATTAAAAGTGAGTGGATAGATGAAGGCGAAAGGGCCTGTAAAGACCTCCACTATGGCTTCCTCTCCTCTCTTCAGCTGCACTACCTCATTGTAAATCTACTGTCTGTTCTTACTCTTTCCTCATTGCTTTGCTTCCTCTTCTCCCCTCCTTTCTGGTCTTACTGATACTTACTCATCAAAGTTTGATAAGGCTTCCTGATAAGCATTAGCACAAGAGCACATCAAGTATGTATACTCATTAAGATTCCTCCTTGTTGTATGCATATATGCGATTTGTGATTCTCAGGAAAGATGCATTTTTGACAGCTCACAAGATGACTTTGCAAATTGTATGTAGTAGTCTACAAGAGCCCTGACAAGCTTACAGTTTTCTTAGTTTAAAATATTGTTAATGGTGGAGGTACCAATGATTTATATATATTTCTAGAAGTTTTGTTGAAACAACCCCTTTGTCCTTTAAACTAGAGGGCAAAATTGTAGTTTGTTTTTTTTTTAAATTCAGTCCAGCTTTAAAAAACAAGACAATTTCAATATTTGTACAGAAGGACTTTTCCTTAAGTATCATTTATTTCATTATTTAGCCTGGTCAGCCAAGAATTCTGCAGACCAACATATCTTCAAAAAACCTGCTAATTTCTTCACCACCTCCTTCTGAAATCCTTCAGTAATACTCATTTAAGGAGGATTAACAGTGGAAAAGTCACTTTGTTTTTCAAGGACTTTTTGAAAGTCTGTTTTTAGACCAGCCGTATCTCCCCACCTCTCTTTTTGATCAGTGAGATGTAAGATAAGATTAATAACCATTATAAATAATTAGTGCTTACACTGCCTTTCACCAGCCATTATTGAGATGACCTTTTTCTCATAAGTTGTTATGAACCAGCTACACGTCAAACATCTGCACATTCCTCTAAAATCCACTAAAGCATAATCTACCCTGTGCTTTTTTTTTCCTTGTTTTGTGTGTGTGTGTGTGTGTGTGTGTGTTTTTTTTTTTTTTTAACAAGAAGGGGTAAGGAAACAGAACAGAATGTTAAGAGTTGGAAGGGTGGACAGAAACAACTCAAGTAAGTCTTTTATAAATAAACGAGCTAAGGCATAGAGAGGTGAGATGATTTTCTGAACTCCAGAGGCTACTAACTAGATATGAAGCCAATCCCCAGTCTTTGTATTTCCACACTTACCTAGCTAGTGGGGACTTTTTCACTCAGAATACCAACTGCTCCACAGTTCATAACTTTTTTTTTTTTTTAAAGATTTTATTTATTTATTTGACAGACAGAGATCACAAGTAGGCAGAGATGCAGGCAGAGAGAGAGGGAGAAGCAGGCTCCCTGCTGAGCAGAGAGCCCGATATGGGGCTTGATCCCAGGACCCTGGGATCATGACCTGAGCCGAAGGCAGAGGCTTAACCCACTGAGCCACCCAGGTGCCCCCACAGTTCATAACTTATTCATAGGTTTGTTTTGTTTAAACCAAGGATCGGGGTGACTTAAAATCCTATTTTAGAAGTAAGTGTTAATTACACCCTTTAACTGATAAGTTCCAACTATGCCCATTACTTTTACAGTCATTTGATCTAATATGCTGTATCCCTAGAAACCAATTCTGTGATAAGAAAAATTGCTGTCATTTCAACCTAAGTTATTTTGGGATGGGCTATGTGATCTGGTTTGGGTGAGTCTAGGATAGAAAGAATCCAAACCCAGAAGTGATTCCCAACTGTAGACTGTAGAAGTCCTACATTCACTTCCTGCTGGGGCAGGAAGTGTGGTGCAGACAGGCTGACCTGAGGCCATGAACACATCCAGGGAGAGATACAGCAACCTGTTGGATGAAAGTGGCTAGTGTCTTTGGACAAGCGAAGGGAAGAAGGAGCAGCAGTGCAGGTAATTTGTGACAGTGAAGAGAATGCCAGCTCATCGACCACGATTTACCACCCCTGCAATCCTGCATCAGGAAAGAAGCCTTCATCAGGATGTGGCCAGGTGGAACCTTGCAGTCTCTGGATCCCAGGGAAAGAAGATCATCGGGCGGGTGGGGGGGGGGGGGGGGGGGGGTGGAGCCTGGGGCAAAAACTACTGCCAGCCTGCAAACCGACCCATTTCTGTGGATGCAACCCTCTTAGACCAGCAGCATGACTGTCAGCACTGGTTCCAGAAGCAAGCAGGCCATGGCTTGAGCACAAAACCACTGCTTCTGGCCTGCTTTGAATGCGTTTTCTAGAAATGATGAATCTGTGGTGGTTCTACATGAATACTCATGATTGGATCTGATTTGTGAGATGTTTTGAAGGGTTACTGTGGCTTTGTAATTGAGATTTTTTTTTCTTCCCCTTGGGAAGTAACTGTTCTTCCCACAACCATTGTGGTTGCCTAGCAACAGGGAACAGTAGACCAGTCACAGGGATTCTGAAGCTAAGGAATGGGGATAGTTGATGTCTGTCTCATGGACGGGGTACATCAGTGGGCCTGACTTGAGATGGGAGAATGTTATAGCAAGAAATCTGTGGCCCCAGGGTCTGAAACCCTGGAGAGAATCAGGTGAGTTCCCAGTTCCTTCTGTCGCAAAAGAACTCATGGGAATTTCTAGATAAAGGAGATCTTACTCAGTGCTTCAAAGAAAACCTTTCTTTAAAGTCTGGGGGAAAACATCAGACAGACTTTTCACCTGATCCTGGAAAATGACCCCTTTCTTTGAATGATGCTTTCATAGGGCAGGGTCTGATACACAACAAGTATTCAATAAATATTTGTTGAATGAATAAAATGTCCCTTACTTGCTCTTCTCAAAATCACACACTTACCCCAACCATTTTATTGGCATGGGGAGGGAAGGCCAAGCCAGCCGTTTACTGGAACCACTGTAATGAAATGTCACCTTCACCACTCCCTTGCCAGGAGATATCCACAACAGAAGCTAGGTCATTGCATCTCTCCTCAAATAAAAACCCAGATCATCTCTGGCTACAGACATGGACATAAAACTCACCCCTGTAATTAACTGATCTACAGTTAATCATGGGGAAATTCACAAGTAGTCACAATACACATTTCCCCTTCAAATGTAGAAATACCTGCGACTTTAGCATTTTCTTTTAAGCCTGGAATAGAAGATAGCCATATCTCCTTCGTAGAAAGAGCTAGATTGTGACAGGTGGTATTCTGTGATATGTACACTACAGCTCTGCTTAGTTAGGCTTTAAAAGTTATTTTCATTACATGAAATGTGTGGGCCTTGTTTTTATTGGCTTTTTACCTGGGGTCTATGGTCCATAGATGCTGTGGGAAATTCACAAATCCCCCAAAACTTTGTGTGAGATGTTGTTTCTATGTGCAAAAGGTCTGTGACCTTCAAAAGATTAATAGTTTTTGGGAAGGAGGGAGTCTTTTGTCTGTTAAAGAAAATGAAATTTAGCAAACGCTCATTTTCTTTTAATTTCCCTGAACACAGCACCTAAAGAGATAATATGTCAATGTGCTGACAATCCAAGAGGTGAACATAATGTTACTGAATGAAGAGAAAATGCCCTGTGATTAACAACTTTGAAATAAATAGCCCCGTGTACAGCCAGCGGGGAAGCCAAGTGAGGAGCAGGACTGTGCTCTCACTGCAAATTATCACTGGTGTTTTGGTCTCCATATGGAATCACATGGAACTGAGCATTTATGCAAGTGGAGAGCAGGGTTTTGAGCTTGGACACAGCTGAGTACATACTACCTTGGCTAACCCTTAGGTGGGTTCAGTTCAGCTCCTTCAGTTCTAAGCAGGAGCAAACTGGTCCCATGTGCCCGGTGGTCTGTTCTACTTTTATTTCCGTCCTTCTTCTCTTCACAGGCCCTTGAGACAGATATTCTCTACAGTTTATAGAAACCAATTGGGAATTTGCTCCTATGTTAGTCCAAGAAAAGAGGGTTAGGCCTTGGATGCAATTAACCTAGGGAATAAAGAAGGCATTTTCCCAGGAAATTCTTTCCCATAAGAATTGGGTGCTCACTAGCTATATTTCCAAACCAGTTTTATTAAAATCTTTTATTCACATGGACTAAGTGGTAACTGATTAGTACTCCTGTAAAAAAAAAAAAAAAAAAAAAAAGGTAAAAAGTTTGGAAAACAGATAGATATTTCACTGAGAGGAAGGAAATATTTATGTTCTTGTCACTTACAGAGAAAATATGACTGTAGAGCTGAAATGTCCTATTAATACTCCCTGCCGATAAAAATTTAAAGGATTTTCTCAGTTTTTCCATGAATCCTGAAGTAAAACAAAACCTTTGCAATAAAAACAAGCTTCACAAATATGTTTGTTAATTCTCATTTGTTTTCTCTCAAGGTTAATAGGCTTTCTGAAGCTTTTTTCTCCTGAATTATGCTACAAACATGACTCGTACTGTGTGTATGCTGAGTAGCCTTGGTTACTCTGAGGCCATGACTCATGACCTTTAAATATTATTGTCAGGCAGCCAAAGCTCCCTCACTTTTAAACCAGTAGTTTTGTTCCAGGCATTATTAAAAGAAGGTGGTTTCGAATAGTTCTTTCTCTTGTACACTTGTGGCACATCTGAATATGTACATAAGGGTACTTGTACCCACAACATTTTGTATATATTTTTTTTTTGCTTCATTCAGTAACTATATATTAATTTCTTGGATGGTATGCCATCGGATGAATAAAAAACAAACGAAGATATTCCTTGTCTGCTAGGAAGTATCACTGAAGAGTTGCAAAAACATAGGTTGACAAATAATTACTTATATGATGAAATGTGATCAGGGCTATAATAAGAGACAGATATCCACACACTACTTGTGGACACAGAGGAAAGAAACAATTTGCCAGGTAGGATCAAAGAAGCTTCAGGAAGAGGTAGAATTTGAGTCATGGTGTGAAGAATAGTTAGGAGTTTTACAAACAGAGAAGAGAGCAAGAGCAGTCTTGTCAGAGGAAACAACCAAAGAAAAGGACAAACACATAGCCTGGGGCCACTGAGTAGTACAGTTTGATGAGAATATCATGTTTGTGAGAGGCACTGATAGAAGATAAAATGAGTTAGATGGGAAGAGGGGGCCCCTTATTAAGGTCCTTCAAAACCATTTGTTGTTTTGTCCAGCAACATGATGGCAAAATTTGTTTTCCATTTTGTGATAAAGAGGTACTGTCAAGTAGAAACACCAAAATACTGGTTTTTACTGATTTGGTAGGATGAGACAAGAGCAATTACATTAGAACCCCAGCATGTCCTTCCACTGAGTGGGAATTTAATTAATTTTGTTCAATAGTCACTGATTACTTTGTGAACATTTTAAAAGGTTTTAAGGTTTTTGAAGAGTGAAAGACTTGCACAGTAACATGGAAATAAAATAATATGTTTGTTATGGAAAGAGTAGGATAGAAAATGATAAAAGTACTCTGGGATTTTAAAGTTAGGCTTATTGGTTGGCAGCAGAAGAACAAGACTTTGAGATTGGGGGTTTACTAAATCACCCATCTATTAATTCATTCGTTAAAAAATATTTATTGACCATCCCAGCCCTGTTCAAGATGTGAAGGAAAGAGTAACAAAATAACAATAGAAAAAATTCCCTATCTTCAAGGAGTTTGCATTTTCAGTTGGAAGGAGACATAATACATATAATTAATAAGCAAATTCCACATTATGCTAGAAGGTGGTAAGTACAGCAAAGAAAAATTAAGCAAGGTCATGAGGATGGATAGAGGGCAGAGAGGTCAATTTTATTTTATTTTTTTTTAAAGATTTACTTATTTATTTGAAAGAGAGAGAGCGCTCAAGTCAGGGGTAGGGCTGAGGGAAGGGGAGAGGGAGAATCTCAAGCAGACTCCCTCACTGAGCATGGAGCTGGACTTGGGGCTCAATCTCATGACCTTGAGATCATGTCCTGAGTTGAAATCAAGAGTTGAATGATTAACCCACTGAGCCACCCAGGTGCCCTGAAAGATCGATTTTTAAGAAGGGTGCATATGGTAGGCCTCACTGAGAAAAGATATTTGAACAAAGACAAAAAGGGAGTAGAAAAGAGTCAAGCAGACAATTATGGAGTACATGCTCCTGGCATGAGGACTTGTGATGAGAGTCTATATGAAGAGGTTGAAGAAGAGTGAGGAAACCAGCAGGATTGATTGAGGAGAATATCAGAAGAATTCAGAGAGGCAAAGGTGGAGTTGTATGGGAGGGGGAAGGAGGGAGTGGGATGGAGCCTTACCATGGATCGAAGGGTAAATGGGTGAGACATCTTTAGGACCTCATATGCCATTATAAGGGTTTGAGCTTTTATCCTGAGTGAAATGAGATCTCTGACTAGAGGGTTTTGAGCAGAGGAGTGAAATAATTTTTATTATAGTCAATGTACTGAAAATAGAATGTAGTAGGTGAAGTTGGAAGCAGAGAGCACCATTTAGGAGATTAATGCAATAACCCAGGCAAGAGCTGATGGTAGTGTGAGGGTTGGACCAGGGTGTTAGCAGTGAAGATGGTGAGTTGGCCAGATACTGGATATATTGTGACTATAGAGCCAAGAGTTTCCTGTTGGATTGGATATGGATTCTGAGACAAAAAGAGGAGTCAAGGTGTCAGCCTGAGTGAGTGGAAGGACTCTGTCATCATCAACTGAGATGGGGAAGACTGAAAGCAGAAGACTGGAGGTAGAAATTAGGAGTTAGGTTTGGAAATGATGAAACTGAGATCTTGATTAGACATCCCAGTGGAGATGTCAAGAAGACAATTGCATGAATGAATCTGGAATTCAAGGGAGAAGTCTAGAAATGCATATTTGGCAGTGATCAGCATACAGATGAATTTATTTTTTTTTTTTAATTTTTAAAAAAGATTTTATTTATTTATTTGCCAGAAAGAGCGAGAGGGCCCAAGCAGTGGGAATAGTAGAGGGAAAGGGAGAAGGAGGCTCCCTGCTAAGCAGGGAACCTGGTGCAGGGCTTGATCCCAGGACTCCAAGATCATGACCTGAGCCAAAGGCAGATGCTTACCCATCTGAGCCACCCAGGCGCTCCCATCTTGATGAATTTAAAGCCATGAGGTTGGATGACATCACCAGTGGAGAGGATGTGACTAGAGGAGAGAGGAGGCCTTGGAGCATGCCAAAGCTGAGAGTGCAGGGAGAGAGAAAGAACCATCAAAGGACACTGAGAGGGAGCAGCAGGGGGAGGGCAGAAAGAAAACCTGAGACCTTAGGACATCCTGGAAGCCAAGTGCAGAGAGCCTGTCAAGGAGGAAGCAATGAATCATGTCAAAAGCTGTCAAGTAAAGTGAGATGTGACAAATGATCACTACAACAGTGATGTGGAGATCGCTGATGAATTAAATGCAGTTTCTGTGGAATAGTGCTTGTGAGAGTCTGGATGGAGAGCTGCCTTAACAAAAAACAGGAGAGACAGTGAGAATATATCCTAGTTATAAAGGGGCTCAGGGTAATCAAGCAGAAAGTAAAGGGTTAAGAGGGCTCAAGATGCAATAAATAACAGCATGTTTGTAAACTACTGGAAATGATCCCAGAAAGAGAGATTGAGTGACCAACAGTGTAGGAGACAAAGAATTCCCCAAGTCTGCTGTTTTGCAGGATGATAGGCTTTCTTCCACATTTTCCTTTTTCTTTTTTTAGTTGAAATAAGAGATTTTGCAGGTTTTCAGAACAGACTGTACTGTTCAGACTGCTTATTCTCAAGAGAACCTTTAAAGGCTATTTTATCTTCTTTGAGTGAAGTTTACATTCCATAGTTTTGATTTCCTTTAGAAAAGTTCAGAAATTGACATTTGGAGGAAATAACTTTACAACAATTACCTTCAATAACACAGTGTAAAGATCTATTTGATGTGGGGTGTGTGTGTGTATACAAGTATGTGCACACCTGAAATAAAATTTTGGAATTCTAAACTCTTACTTTATTTCAGCACCACGTCTACAAGTTCAGAGTCAAATATACAACAAAGGAACAAAAAACCGGTAAGAGATGAAGTTTGCCTGAATTCTTTTTTTTTTTTTTAAAGCATTACAGTCAATAAAACTGAAACTTCTTTAATTAATGCTAAGACTTTCCTGATGTAGTTTGCTTTCTCATTTTATTAGTAAGGATTGTAAAAATAAAGCATGGAATATCTTTTTGTCTAGTAGAATGCGGCCAAGTGGGTAGAGTGCCAACTAAGCAATATTACTGGGCAGTAGGGAAGTTAGGGGTGCTGTGGTGTGGCCCTACAGTATCATAGACATTCTGGTTACTCCAAAGTCTTTGCTTGTATGTGAGGAAATTCTGGAATTCAAACAAGGTACAGACTGGGTAAATCACATTATGTGGTTTATTTAGGCTAAGGGTGAAATCACAGTCTATTCTAGATATTTCTAGTTCATGCTCTTTCAAGTGGGATGATGGCATACTTAGTTCTGACCCTTGAGATCTTGTCTCTTCTGTGAGAGCTCTTATGCCCTCAGACAGCGAGGTTCTTTTTACCTGAGCCTCATCTTGTACCTATCTCTGCCTCAGATAGCAAGTGTGAAGGCTGTTGAGAAATGTTGCAGCTGGGTGATGGGGACATGGGAGCTCATTACACTAGTCCTCCACTTTTATGAGAGAATTTGAGAATTTCTCTTAAAGAAAAAATAAGCTATCTTTACATCCCTGATTCAGTTTTAGTAAGGATCCCCTAGACTCCACTATAGACATTTCTGGAACAACCCTTTTAACTCTAATGTACCCTGTAGCAGTGTGGTATGGAACAAAGATCACAGGGCTAGGAATCAGGCTCAAGTGTCTCACCTCCAATCTATGTGACCATAACCAAGTCATTTAAGCTATCAGGGTCTTGTATGTCATCCATAAAATCAGGATGATGAACTTCTACTTTGAATATGATGTTTGGATTGTGGAAATGGTTGGTGTACCTACCGGTGCACTGAAGTATAGTTATTTAGAATCAATAGCATTCCAATGGGCTCTCCTGTGGGCCAGGGGACTTTGCTCTTGGATTTCTTGATTTCTTTCTGGATTCAGCAGCTCTGCCCTACCACTCCCATCCCATCTCAGCATCACCAGCTAAGAACCATTGATCTAGTGAAGTGCATCTCCAGAAGCCCATTCCTGTCCTTATTTTTTCAAAAACATTAACATCTCTTTTCTGAGTTACGTTCACTTAACCTGACCCCAGACAGACTGGTTGTATCTCTGAAATCCATAATTATCTTCAGGAGGAGGGTTTTGTTAAAGAAATGGACGTCAAGGGAGGCCAGCTTAGACTAGTAGAACATGAATTATATTAAAAATCTACTTGCTAACCGTAGTGATCCTTTAATCCAACATTGCCTTTTTTTTTCAGCTGGCAAAAAAAGAAAAGCCCAATAATGAAGATTTTTAATACATATGTTGGAGCTGTTTATAATTCTGTTGTCCACAGAGAAAGTATTACTCACCAGTACCATATGAAAACATTTTGTTTCTCCTCTCGGAACCCTTGGATTAGCAGTTAAATTGCAGTTTTGGAAATGAGAGACTTCAGCTCACCAATTCCATTTACTGCCTTTCCCTCTAACAATGCTAATCAATTAGCACCCTAGAGATAACCTTCTGGTTGGCTGCGTATGACACGGCAAAGGACAAGGTGCCAATCACCACATGTATGATTTCTGCCCAGGGCTCCCAATTAGCTTCCTGGAGTTCAGAATCTAATGCTTTCAATTTACATTTAATACAGTTGGGAGCCCTGGGGCTGCACGTAGCTGGTTCTACAGTGTTTTTACATTTCCAAAAAAATACATTTAGCTGGAGGAGGTTAGAATTAGAGATCTCAAGGCCATAAGACATCCACAGTTAGTGCTGTCTGCTCATCACACAATGCCTTTCAGGTCTTGCAACTCTTAGAATGGTCATTCAGCAGAGCCCCATTCTGCTGTGTACCAGGCGGTACACACTAGCTTGCAGGTGGATCCCAAATGCCTCTTTTAAACAGTGGCAGTTTGCTTGCGCCCAAGGCATTGACACTGAAGGATGAAATCTGTTGAATTCTGTGAGGACGTCTCCACTGCCCACATATAGAAACAAGCTCCTCCCATCTAGATATCTGGACATGGTGGTTCCCTATTTTGTCTTTACTATACTCTTCTTTGAATACTACTTTAATTTTTGGACTCTCCTGGTAAACTACATTCTTAGAGGGAGAACTGGCCTTTCTTTGTTCATCTCTATGTCCACGGGACAGAGTTTGTGAGAGCAAAACAGCACTCAGTCATCATTGTCTGAAACAGAACAAATGGACCGAGCACTAGGTATAGTCCTAGGTGATCAACAGAGGCCGTCCCGCTGATTCCCTACAGCAGCAGAGGACGGTGGGTTTCAGAATCATCACTCTCTTACTGACACTTTCCTTCTCATTATTACCACATTAGACATTAAGAAATTGAGATTCGGGGAGGAGGGGAATGATTTCAGCTGTTGAGTGACCAAGGAATATGTGTGTACCCGATAGGAGGAACATCCCAGCATAATGAGGTGTTAGTTTTTTTTTTAGATCCACAACTTAGGGGCCAGGTTGTCCCTGTTTATCTGCACCCTATTCTTCTGGGCCTGTTAGAGGATGCGAATGTTATTTAAACTGTTGCTTTTGCTGCATTTTAATATCTTCTGACAGAGAACAGCTAGTGCATATAAATCATCTCATTCAAAGCTGTTTAGGAAATAAAAATTCTATTTCAAGGAGGCTTGACCTGAACCGGATACCTGGCTCAGGATTTCTCCCTCTGAACTATTCCTGCCAACTGTGACACACGGAGATGAATTATGTAAAACACATGATGTCACTGGTTATGTGACATCCTCCAAAAGTGAGGATGTGGGCCTGAATTCATCAATGCTAGAATATGTATGAAGTAGTTCGCCCATTGTGCAAAACTAAGCTTATTATAAAACCTCACAAACCCTTTAGCTTCCAAGTTGCAATTTAGTGATGACTTCATTAAAGAATCATCTTAGGTACCAAAAAAATGAAAGCACCTTTTAAAAAATTTTTGTGAGGTCAAATTCATAGCACACAACATAGAAAGACAGATCTCCAAAATGACCTTTTGGAGTAGCTGAAAGGTTTTTGCATTTGATAAACTGGGCAAGGCAAGCAATGCCTTAAATTGTGTCAAATTGTATAAAATCTGTTCTTTTAATACTTGGTATGATATAGCATTATGTTTGTAGGAAGCAGGTATTTCGTCACATTCTCGTATTTCTAAATTTTAATGTTCTAAAATGGCTTTCAGAAAATTCTTCCCATTAAGGACCAAACTTTCAAATCATTTGTTAATATGTCACTTGTGTTTTAAAGGACCATTTCAAATGATTTAAAGGAAATATTCCTATTTATTCTTAGAATGAGATCAATATAGAACTCTATTTCTATGTATATTTAAACAAAGATTTGTGTCTATTTTAGAAAATTGGAGATATATATATATATTTTTTCACTTTAATTCATGAGAAATGATGTCACAGAATTTTCTGTTTTGGATTTCTTTCTTTCCTCTATTCTTTCTCCTTCTCTTTTTTTCTCTCTTTCTTTGCTTCCTGTCCTCCCTTCTTTCTTCCTTTCCTTCCTTCCTTACTCTTTTTCTTTTCCTCCCTCCCTTGTCCCCTCCCTCCCTTTCTCCCTTCCTTCTGTCTCTCTTTTACTGAAGTAAACTTGACTTTTGACATATGTACAAACCAGTCAAGAGAAGGAAACTATCGGGGCGCCTGGGTGGCTCAGTGGTTTAAGCCTCTGCCTTCAGCTCAGGTCATGATCTCAGGGTCCTGGGGTCGAGCCCCAAGTCTGGCTCTCTGCTCAGCAGGGAGGCTGCTTCCCCCTCTGTCTGCCTGCTTCCTCCTCTCTGCCTGCTTCTCTGCCTACTTGTGATCTCTCTGTCTGTGAAATAAATAAATAAAATCTTTAGAAAAAAAAAAAAAAAGAGAGAGAGAGAGAGAGAGAGAAGGAAACTATCCATCACCCCCAGGAGTTTCTCATACTCATCTCTCTCACCCACTTCTCCCTACCTGCCTATAGACCATTCTCAAAGAAGCATTGGTTTGCTTTGTGTCACTGTATATTATTTTATGTTTCCTTGAGCTTTACATAAGTGGAGGCACACAGTACATACCCCCTTTACTGGCTTCTTCCACTTGGCCAAACTATTTTGAGCTTCATCTATGTTGTAGTGTGAATCAATAATTCATTTTTATTGAATAGTATCCCACTGTATTGAATGTATGTTTGTTTATTCCTTCATCTGTTGGCTGACGTTTAGGTTATTTCCAGTGTTTGACTCTTACAAATGAAGTTGCTATAAACATTCCTATACAAGTATTTGTGTGGACATATGCTTTCTTTTCTCTTGGGTGAATACCTAATAGTGAAGTGCTTGAATCATATGGTAGATATACTTTTAATTTTCTTGAAAACCATCAAACTGTTTTTCAAAGTGGTGGTATCATTTTATATTTCCACCAGCATGTCAAGAGTTTCAGTTTATCCACATTTTCTCCAAGCCTGGTTAGGGTCAGCCTTTTAAGTTTCAGCCATTCTGATAGATGTAGCCCTATCTCAGGGTGGCTTGCATTGGCATCTCCTTAATAGCTAATGGTGTCGAGCGCTTTTTCTTGTCTTTCTTTGCCATCCTTATGTCTTATTTGGTGAAGTATATATTGAAACCTTTTGTCCCTTTCTTGCCTCTTATTATTGGGTTAAAGTTCTTTATGTATTCTAGACACAAGTAATTTTTCAGATTATGTGTTTTGCAGTTACTTCCTCCAGTCTCTGGTTACTCTTCTCATTCTCTTAACAGTGTCTTTAGAAGGGCAGAAGTTATTAATTTTTATGAAGTCTAATTTATCACTTTGTACTTTCATTTATCAGGCATTTGGTATCTGATCTAAGAAATCTTTGCCCAAGGTCACAAGTATTTTCTCTTGTTTTCCTCCAGAAGTCTTCTAGTTT